TTAGGGTTTAGGGTTTAAGGGCAGCTTGGGAGCTGAATAGAGAGTAGCCAAAGAGTCGAATGTAGGCGTCGAAACAACGACACGATTTGCACTGGCACAGGCGAGAGACAGCCTGTTGCAACTTCAAACAATACTAACAATAATACTAATAGTGATGGTAACAATAACAAATACTAATAATAATCATCATCATCATCATCATAATCATAATGATACTATGAATAGTAAGAAGAAGAAAACAATCATAATCATAATAAGAACAGTAAGCAAAATAATAAAAGCAATGATAAAATCATTAGGAATAACGCTAACAAACAAGAGCAATAAGAATGAGCACAATAATAATAATAATAACAACGACAATAACCGTAAATATTCTAATGGTCGAAATAATATTGAAAAGAACACTAACAATAACAATAATGATTTTCCACTTTGCGGTTCTGATTTGGAATGACTCTCTGCCACTGGGCTACCAGTGCCACGTTTCCCTGACATGCACCGATGCACCTCAAAGATGTTGAGGCTACCGAAACAGCTGAATTTGTCAGGAGCTGGCTGGCTGATCTTGCTAAGATCATGCAGCCCCAAAACCCTAAACCCTGAACCGTAGGATACCGGTAAGTTCTAGTTTTACAGTCACTCCAAGGTGCTTGAGCAAGCGACCGATGCCCGAGTATAGAATTAGTAGCAGCATCCTCTCATCGTCCTGCGTATAATGACATAATAGGCTCCGATGCCCTGAGCCACTTATGAACAAATTACTATCTCATCGAACCCTTATCAACGATCTGGAACCGTTGAAGGTACCCGTAGAAAGGAATCCTGTTCAAGACGAGTCTAACGATTTTCCCCTAAGTTATGTATCTCCATCATGGGACTCAGAAAGAGTGCGCCATAACAAACCCTACGCCGTAGAGTTTACGGCTTACGATTTAGGCCGTGCCCTGAACCCTAAACCCGAATCTCGGTCTCCTCAACTGACTGTCGCGCCTCGGTTCCCGATACGGCTCGTCCGAACCAACGGCCGCATCGCGAAAGCGAGGTGTCGGGACGGCACCTTTCGTGAAGTGAGCCAGACGCCACATCCCATGCCCGCACCCAATAAGCTTACAACTCCTGACCCCGAACCGTAAGAAGCCCCCAGCCTCAAGCTGAATCCTACAGCCGAAATTCTAAAGCCTAAACCCTCGAAGACTAATCATACATAGATAGATATACATATATTAATACAGTATACGCATGCGTATTATTTCTGTATACAGACATACATACAAACATACATACATACATACATACATACATCCATCCATCCATCCATCCATCGATGCATGCATGCATGCATGCATGCATACAACAAACAAACAAACAAACAAACAAACAAACATACATACATACATACATACATACATACATACCTACGTACATACATACCTACGTACATACATACATACATACATACATACATATTTATATATATATATATGTATATATATGTATATATACATATGATCCCCAAACACTGGACCCGAATGCCTCGTACTTCAAAACCTCTGAAGCAACCCCAATCACGCCAACCACACTTGGATCATAGGACTAGCTAGTATGAACCCTAAACCCTATACCCTAAACCCCAAACCCTATAGCTACCAAATGCAGTAGTAACTACCAGAAACTGTTGGGGTACAGATGCCCCTCTTGATCCCCCTCCCCACCGACACCCTAAACCCTAAACTCTAGGTCCTACGTACCGAGGTCCCAAAAGATTTGCTCAGGATTCTAATTATTTAAAGCCCCTAAACCCTCAACCATTACAGTAGCTCATATAGGATCCCTTAAAGTAACTCTAAAAGGAACCCCAAAACCCTGTTCCATTCTATACCCTTGTTAGTACCCCCTATACTAGCTGGTAATATCTCTTATAGAACCCGAGAGGAACCCTTGTTATACTGATCTTTTAAGCACGCTTTGAGTGTTCGGGTGCACCCGAAGGGGCCGCCGGAGGAGGCTCGCCCTCCTCCGATGTTGTCTCGTAGGAGCTGCCCTCCTCCTGTCTCTGGAGCTTTGGGGCTTTAGGGCTTTGGCTTCTGGCTCAGATTAAATCTCAGCGGTTGGAAGATGAGGGAGACTTGAAACTGGGATTTGGGGAATGAGGCTTCGAGTACATGCACGCCACACCCAAACGAACCACCTCTTTCTTCTCTGATGCCAGGAAGCCGTCTCGGGCAAGAGTGGTAGTGGGGTGTACCCGAAACCCAACACCGGTGGCGACCTCATCCCTTGAATTGCTGGAGAGCTCACGATCTGTATGGGAAAAACCACACCCTAAATCTTCCCGCCAGTAGCTATAGCTGAAGTAAGAAGCTATTCACTAAGTCTCTTCTGGGATCGTGGTCCCGAATAAATCCTAAACCCTGAAAACCGTTCAATAAAACCTCTCTGAAACTCGATAGAAGCATGGCGTACCCCTACCGCCCGGTGCCTCGACGTCGCCCTCAAGGGCCTGGGAACAGGTTCGCGAGGCATGGGCATTGGGGTTTGGAGTTTACAGTTTAAGGTTTTGAGGTTTCTTTGTTCCGGGCTTAGGGTTTAGAAGATTTAGTAGAAGGCTCTCGGGATGAGTAAACCCGGCACCTACAGGGAGAAGGGAGCTAACTAGGAATATATAGTAGTAGTGATAGCATGCTTCCTCTTGCCAATGATGCTGCTGCTGCATCATCTGATGTAGTAGTAGGTAGCAGTAGCAGTAGCAGTAGCAGTAGCAGTAGTAGTAGTAGTAGTAGTAGTAGTCGTAGTCGTAGTAGTAGTAGTAGTAGTAGTAGTAGTGGCAGTAGTAGCAGTAGCAGTAGCAGCAG